CCTAACTATATTTTCCCCATTGATTACATGTAATTATATATCACGATTTAGTATGTGGTGAACATCTTTGGACCCTATCTCGCGATATATGCCGACCCTACTGCTGGATAAGAACATAAGAATGGAGGAAACTGCAGCGAGCCTATTTGCCCATACTGGGCAGTTCCAAAGGAAGGACCGGGTACCGAACTCAGACCACCAGGAATGACAGGCAAGAAGACCTTTAGCCACTGAGCCACGGTGAATGGATGTATGGACCCAAATTTTGGAACATGGTGGCGCTTCATAAATGACATGCCAAAAGCTGTACACTCCTCTATACAAATGTTTGCGGATGATGCCTAGTTATTTAGGGAAATTAAGAACCAAGCAAACTGTGAAGAGCTACAGAAAGATCTCTGTGAGCTTCAAGAATGGTCAAAGAAATGGCTGTTACGATTCATCGTCATGAAGTGTAAGAGGATGCACCTGGGTCATACCACGGTAATGAGGCGCATCATATGTCCCAACGGGACAAAGAGACCACATTAACTTAGACTGAATGTGAAGAGGTCCTAGGTGTGTATGTTGACAATGATCTGAAGTTTTCGGGCCATTGTGAGAAGAAGGTGAACCAAGCAACTATATTATTAGATCTTATAAGAAGGTCGTTCAGATATCTAGATGGTCCGTCCCTAGTTTCTGGGTGATGCTAGGATGTTCAAGAGGTATCTGAAGAGGTGTATATAAACACCAGTGAGCAGGCGAGGAGTCAGTCGATCGCTGCCACTCAAGAGTGTCCAGATCAAGCCTCGTAGAACAACTGAAGATAATGGTTGTGCAAGTATTGTTTTATTGTTGTGATTAATATAAAGTGAGAAGACTAACGGCCATATTATTAAACAACATTTTTCCTTGAAGAATATCTTCATGTTGAATGCTGTATTTTTTAATGCGAAGAACCTTTTAGTGCATCGCACGAAAGAGTGTGGTGGCATGAAAACGAACTAATTGCACTAACTTTGAAGAGGTAGCTATGAGCTGCTTTTCGTCACCCTCTTCATAATTATTTTGTTAGTTTTATTGAATATTTATTGTCAATACGATTAACGTAAAAAGAAACACGTATTGGTAATTTTACAAATTATTTTTTTTTACATTATTGGTTTTACGGCCCATATTATGACAGTGCAAAAGCTGTGTCTCCTGTCATATTACGGCTTTCGTAAAAGCTGTGCTGCTTGTTAATTTGTTATTGCCAAAGGCAAGCTGCTGTAGTCATCCCATCTTACTAACGCTAGTATTAATCTGGTAAGCACATTTACGGTAATTTATTAAACTTTTTAGCAGTTTTATAAGTGAGTTTCTGTCAGGAAAATATAAACTAGTGACGTTCTTGCCTAGAAATATTCCAATGGGTAGAGGCAAATTTCACTGGGAGGTCATTATCACAAGGATGGTAATATTACATACAAAAACACCTTTGATACAGTGGATCATGATATAATATGTGAAATACTGCAGGCTCTAATTATTCATCACCAATTACATTATTTCGTTTTGGTAAACTTCCATTTGGTTGAATTAGGTGCATAATAAAACAAGTTCACTGGAAGCTGGAGTTTGATTATTTAATGAAAATGTGCCTTAAGCATATATGATACAATATTTTGGCTAATATAGAGGACTTCACAGCAGCTTCCCCCGTCTCAGTAATAGAAAGTTCGCCCATGCCAAATTAGAAGTCTCTACCTCCCATATACAGTAACTGAATTAAGCTAGTTGTCTCAGAGATTATAGTCGTCTGCACCCTCTTTAATCTAACCTACTAAGCTACTATATATATATATATATATATATATATATATATATATATATATATATATATATATATATATATATATATATATATATATATATATATATATATATATATATATATATATATATATATATGCATTATTACCCCGCTTTACGCGGTTTCACTTTTCGTGATTTCTCATTTACACGGTACCTCGCCAGAACCGGACTTCACTTTCCGCAGTGCAGCTACTCATATACGCGGGTGAAGTATAATTTTTTATTTAGCTCATAAAATTCATACAAATTACCCGGCCAGAATATAATTTACATTGCTGGAATTCTTACAATATGATGATCATTTTGAATATAAACATCATGGATTTTGCATTAGACATACAAATTTTAGATCTAATGTAATAATTTGGTTTACACAAAGCAAATATTTTATCTTTTGTGCAAAATATATGAAGTTTACATTCAAAATATTCCCTGACCTGCAAGGAATCCAGAAATGTCAATTATATTATCCTAACTTTAGCCTGAGGTATTATTTATTACTAAACGTTAAAATCTAGTGTTTTCACCCAAACATTTCTCAGAGAGGCAGGAGCCAATGAGCTGGGAAGTGGGGAAGGGGTGAGTTGAGTCCATTATTTGAATGGACATTAACCTGGTGACTGTATTTCTCTTAAATATTTATTGTGTGAGCATACCATCATAAAATTAAGATGTTATTTTTACTACAACATAGGTATTGTGTCGGAAAAAGTGGAGTTTGGGGGTCGGGCCAGTCTCTATTGGAATCAATCCCATATGTTCTGTTGTTCACTTTACACGGTTTTCACTTTCCGCGGTACCCCGTGGGTTCAATTGACCACGTAAATCAGGGTACTACTGTGTATATATATATATATATATATATATATATATATATATATATATCTATATATATATATATATATATATATATATATATATATATATATATATATATATATATATATATATATATATATATATATATATATATATATATATATATATATATATATATATATATATATATATATAGTGAACCTTCGCTTTACGGGTCAATTGAACCTTGAACCCACGGAGGCCTTCGTAAAGCTGGAATCCTTGCAAGACAGCCAATAATTTGAATATAAACGTCATATATTTTGCTCAAGAGATAAAAATTGTTGTACATTAGTGTACAGTACTGTAGTACATTTTATAAAAAAGTTTTTCAACTGTATTTTTGGGTAGATTTACATAGATTTCTTCATTTATTTTCACCCATTTACACGCACACACCATACTAAAAGAAACATAATAGAAATAAATGACCTCAGTGCAAAGCTGGAGTGTACATGTACTAATTTGATTACGGTACTAAAATTGTTTTGTCTGGTGCAAATTATAGCATGTTTATATTCAAATTAATCAGTGTGTTACAAGAATCCCAGCTATGTTAATTATATTCACCCAGGTCATTTCCCTGACTTTTTATAAGAGAGAAGCTTGGTCACCTAAGAACTGATAAATATATACGCGGAACTTTTAGACATATTGCCAGCCGTCATGTATTTTGCACAAGAGATAAAAATTAATAACCTGTATCACATTACAGTAGTGATTTAAGAGTAAAATTAATATATCGTATATAGTATTCCCACATACAAGTATAAATAAAAAGTTTATGTGATGATCGGACAACGTCCATCGGTTTATGTCACGTTTCCAAACGTATCTAGGGCGTTAACATTGCATGACTGTATTACATTAGATCTAAAATTTGTTGTCTAATACAAAATCCATGATGTTTTATATTCAAAGTGATCATCATATTGTAAATTCCAGCAATGTAAATTATATTCTGGCGGGTAATTTGTATATTTATGACCTAAATAAAAATTATACTTCACCAGTATATAAATTAATACGCAGTAATGATCGAAGGTTTACTGTGTGTGTGTATATATATATATATATATATATATATATATATATATATATATATATATATATATATATATATATATATATATATATATATATATATATATATATATATATATATATATATATACGTCACTGTGGGTCTTACAGTCTGGGTATATGCTGATAACCAGGAAAGAAAAACTGAAGTTCCCAAAGCGGCTTGGTGTACAATTCACATCTTCAGAGGTGAGTACAGACTAGTCTGTATATATATATATATATATATATATATATATATATATAGTTTTTACTTTATTTTAAAAATCTTCTTCTGATCGCCGAGATCCATATCCCTCAGCATTTTAACATGTTGCAATTTGTAACCATGCTTGTTTCTTTAATGTAACAAGCTTCCCACAAGTACTTTGATTTTGCTAAATTTTCTCCTCCCCAATCAAATAAACTAAGAAATCCCGGGAGACTTTGGAGGAAAAAATATCCATGATGAGAGCTGCCACAATACTAAATTTGGCGCCAACGAAGGTAAACAAACACACACAGGACCCATAATGCATCAGCGAAAAGACGACCATAATGCATCAGCGAAGAGGACAGTATTACCAGACCTAAGAAAATCATCCCGCACGAAGTGGAAGAGGTTCCAGCATTTAGAAATACCACTTGAAGGAACAATACCTTCGAAAAGATTCTTCGTCGGAAGGGGGGTAGATGTTGTTTAATAATATGGCCTTAAGGCATTGTACACTGGTAGCGTTCCGACTACAGTATACTATATATTCGAAGTGAGAAGTCCAGCTGTAAAGCCATGACCTTGTTAAAAGAAGACTACAGTACAGTGCACAAGTGTGTTTCTGTGACCTGGTGAAAATCTACCTGCCTGTTGTTTGTCTGTACACTGAGGCAATTGTGTTGTGGAGGGACTGTTCTTTAGAGGTTATTTCTATCATCTGTCAAAAATTATTTTCTTTGTCAAGTTACAGTTTAAGTATCATTTGTTACTTCTCAGAAATTTTAAAGTATTTTATGATTTAGGTTCATAATGAAATTGATTTATGTTTCTTACACTAATTATAATATTGTACTGTACACTGCATTTAAAAATCTATTTACAGTACAGTACCTGCCTAAACACAACTTTATAAATGAGTCTAAAGGTGCCTGAACAATATTTTTTTTACAATTCTAAGCATTGTTTAAAAGGATTCAGAGTATTACTTTATGTGTGTGTGTGTGTAACCCCTCATGTTGTGCTTCAGCTTACATCATCAAGCGAATCGGCAATATCATCACCTTCACTATCTCCCTGACGGCCTTCAGCATTCGTGTTCTGCTCTACTCCTTTGTCACCAACCCCTGGTTCTTCCTGCCGGTCGACCTCCTCAACGGGGTATCTTTTGGGCTCTTCTACCCTAACATGATAAGTTACGGCAGTTTAATGTCTCCTAAAGGTGCCCAAGCTACAGTACAAAGCATCGTCAAGTCTGTCTTTATAGGAGGTAAGTCGAGTGAATATTGAGTTTAATCAGTTCACTGTAGAATATAATCATTAAAGAAATTTATGTTAAAGAAAACTTCCAGAACTTTGTTTATAAATTTTAATTAAAAAAATAATTAGAGTACAGTTGTAAACAGTTCTGAAATATTCAACTGTTTCTTGAGCACCACAAACATAATTACTATTTAAATATTTTCATTGTCTTAAACAGGTATTATACTGTACATGTAATAACTATGCATTTCAACATTTTCTGCTGTTTTAAGCAGGCATAACAATCATGATATAGTAACTATTTTAACATTCTTAGCATTACAAACATGATACAGTAACTATTTTAACATCCTTAGCTTTACTTTTTACTTTTATCCTCTTCGCCACTGATCGGCTTGTTAGCCGCTTGGGCGATCGGTCACGTCTGATTACTTTTCCTTTTCATTTCTCTTCTTCACCAAAAGATCGGCTCGCTAGCCGCCCGGGCGATCGGTCACGTCTCTGTCACTCACTGTTGGCAAATACAGTTAACCCTCACTTTACGCGGTTAATGTAACCCGGAGGGTACCGCGGAAAGTGAGGAACGCGTAAAGTGAATAACATAACATATGGGATTAATTGAAATGGAGTCCGGGCCGATCCCCAAACTCCACTTTTTGACGACACACAACTATGTTGTAGTAAAAATTTTATCTTAACTTTATGATGGTATGAAAAAACAAGTAATACAGAAGAGGTTAGGTTAGGAAAGATAAAGGTTAACATAGGAAAAATAAAGGTAAGGTTAGAAAACTAAAAATTAGGTGTAACACTTACGGTAGTAGAAGAGATGGGTCGGCATACGGGGATGGAGGCTGGTTCCGAGGCAGAGGGCAGATTACTGGCCCTCAGGTGAATCACCATTACTAGGTGAATCACCATCACTGTCACTTACAGTTGTCAGGGCTTCCCTGACAAATCCCTCAAAGTCAACTTCACTGTCACTATCACTGGCTTGGGCTGGCTGTGGTGGGTTGCGGGCGAAGAAATCTGTTATGCTTTGCTGACGGCTGGCGTTGATGTTGTCGTGATACACCTTGATGTACGGCTCCATAGCCTGCACCAGCCGGGTATGGAAGACTTCATAGCGGTCATCGTCATTGTCGCGGGAAAGGAAGGACTTCATCTTCTCTGCACACTCCATGGCACCCTTAATATCACTATGACTTAAATTGTGTTCTTCGGAGACTGACGCACCTTCTTCCTCCTCTTCACTGACGTGTTCTTCTTCCATCATCTCGTCGGCAGTCACTTTAGGATCTCTGATCACCTCCAGGATGTCGTCGTTGGTGGTCTCGGAGAAGCCTGGAACTGTAACAGTCTGCGCAGCTTCTCTGGCAAGGTCCACTGCTACTGCAACATTCTGAACCTCACCAGTCACAGATTGACTCCTCCTCTCACCTGGTATTCCATGCAACACATGTCTCCATGCGTGACGAATTGTAGCAATAGACAGCTGATCCCATGACTCCACCAAGAAGTCCACAGCTTTCTTGATGTTAAATACTCTCCAGAATTGTTTGAAGAGTATTTTTTGCTGTTCTAACTGTTGATCCTCATCTTCTTCGCTCTTGCTATCGGTGGTGGTGTCACTCAGGTTACGCAACTCTTCCCTGGTGTTGGTGTAGTCGTTCAGGAGCTGGAATTTTTTTGTTGAGAATGCAGCTTTCACATTGCAAATCAACTCCTGGTCCATGGGCTGGATTAAAGACGTAGTGTTGGGAGGAAGGAAGACCACTTTTACGTTGGGGTGACGATCTAACAGTAGGGGCGAGTGTCCTGGTGCGTTGTCCAGCAGCAACAAAATATTAAATGGGACATTCTGTCGCTCACAGAATTTCTTTACATCGGGAACAAAACAGTCATCAAACCAGGAGAGGGACAGTGTAGAGAACATCCATGCCTTACGTGCGGTCAGCCAGTGGACATTTAGCTTGGTCATGTCCATGCTCTTGTAGGCGTGCGGCTTGCGGGCTGTGTGGATCACCGATAACTTGAGCTTACAGGTACCGGAGGCATTGGTGGTAAACAGGACGGTGATGCGTTCCTTCTGCATTTTCCGGCCCCGAATCCTGCTGGCATTCTTCACAACGAAGGACTTGGAAGGTAGTTTTTTCCAGAAAAGACCAGATTCGTCCATGTTAAACACCTGGTCGTCACTGTACTGTCCTTCCTCCATAATCTCACGTAAAAACGGAGGAAATTCCCGAGCCGCAGCACGATCAGCACTCGCTTCTTCACCACCAATGTTTATATTGGTGATCTTGTTCCGGATCTTAAACCTCTGTAACCACCCAGAGGAAGCATTAAAGGGTTTGGGCTCTGAAGTTCCCATCTTTCATGCCACTGCCATGTACAGTTCACGTGCGTAGTCCTTAACAGAGCGCGTGTCGACCGCCATGTTCCGTCGCGCCTGACGCACCAAGTACCTCACAAGTAATTTTTCTGTCTTGAGAAGCACCTGGTTGTGAAAATACTTGATCATAGAAGCACCTGTAGACTTTGTGATCTTCATGTGCTCCTTTATCTTGGCTGAGTCCTTCTTTATAGTCCGGATCGTAGATTCGTTCACGCCATGCTGGCGTGCCAAATCAACCTGCCTTGTTCCTTTCTCCAACTCTTGGATGATGCTATACTTCACCTCGTAGCTTAAGGAACGTCGTGTCTTCTTTGGTTTAGTGCCGCTGGGTCCAGGTAAGGAAAGGTTTCTCTCTGGGGGTGGTGGTCCGGCGGAAGCCATTTTACGGAACAATGGATGCGCGTTTACACGGAGTGGCCTTGAGGGATGAAACTGCCGCGGCTAGGTCAAGCGTCGTCTTTCCTCCCTCCCTCCCTCCCCCGGGTGGACACGTCATAATACTTTAAGCCAATTACAGCTAGCAGCAGAGGGGGGTAGGGATGCATGGCCAATCACAGGTCTGATACGTCATATGACGTCAGTGATAACGCAACAAAGACACACACTGCGCAACCTTACCGCGCCGCTTGCCCAAGCGGAGGGAGGAGGAGGGAGAGGCAGGCAGGCAGGCGGGCGGGTGGCGGGTGGGGCGAATCTAAAAATAGCGTCGCGCCGGACACTCTCCGCGTAATGGGGTTCACGTACCGCGTAATGTGAGCACGTGAGGTTCTGGCAAGGCACCGCGTTAACGTGGAAACGCGGAATGCGGGACCGCGTAAAGTGAGGGTTAACTGTACTGGTCATGCACCGGCTCCTGAATGTACCTGAACCCTCTCCAGTGTTGGTCAAGTCTTGTCTTGAAAGAGCTCACACTCGGTGCCATCACAACACTCTGGTAGATTGTTCCAAGAGTTTACAACCCTCACTCCAAAAAAGTTTGCCCTCACTGTTTTCTGGACTTGCGGCTTCTTCAATCTTGAGCTGTGACCCCTTGTGGGGCGAGCGTCCGCCAGCTCCAAGTAAGGACACTCAACTGAGTAGTGCCCCCTGAGATGCTTATACACCTCAACTAGGTCACCCCTTGTCTGTAGTATAAGCTAGGCAATTTCAGGTGCTCCAATCTCTCAGGGTAGCTGAGGTGCCGAAGTGCAGGCACCAGTCTGGTGGCCCTCCTTTGAACATTTTCAACCAACTGACAGTCCCTAGCATATCTCGGGGACCAGACGGGGTGACAGTACTCCAGATGGGGAAGCACTTCACTCCTGAAAATCGTTACGAGGGACGGACCGTCTAGATATCTGAACGACCTTCTTATAAGACCCAATAATTTATTTGCCTGATTTACCTTCTTCTCGCAATGGCCCGAGAACTTCAGCTCATTGTCAACATACACACCGAGGTCCTTCTCACACACAGTCTCAACGAGTGCAGTTTCTTCATCCCATTGGGACATATGATACGCCTCCTTACCGTTGGTACGCCCCAGGTGCATCCTCTTACACTTCGTGACATTGAATCTCAGCAACCATTTCTTCGACCATTCCTGGAGCCCACAGAGGTCCTTCTGCAGTTCTTCACAGTCCGCTTGGTTCTTAATTTCCAGAAATAACTTGGAGTCATCAGCAAACATTTGTATGGAGGAGTGTACAACGTCAGGCATGTCATTTATGAAACAAACAAACAACAGCGGGCCCAATACACTGCCCTGCGGTACCCCACTTGTGACAGGTACGGATGACGATTTCATGCCATTAATCACCACACACTGCTTGCGGTCATGTAGAAAGTCTTCTATCCACGCTAGGACATTTCCCCGAATTCCGTACCCTTCCAGTTTGATTTTTAGCCTTTCGTGGGGTACACTGTTGAAAGCCTTGGCAAAAATCTAGGTAAATATTGTCGATATTACCACCCCGTTCCAGAATATGGGTCCAAATATCCAATACCTTGAGCAATTGTGTTAAGCAGGTGCGCCCTGGCATAAAACCGTGTTGGCAATCTTTTACAAGGTTGTTTCGTATTAGATGTTCCATTGCGGCATCTCTGATAATACTCTCAAGTACTTTACATCTTATGCTGGTCAGGCTCACCGGTCTATAGTTGTTCGTGGAGTGACTATCGCCCTTCTTGAAGATAGGACTCACATAAGCCACTTTCCATTCACTGGGGACCATTTGTTCATCCAGGCAGGATCTTCAGGTGCTCTGCAAGCTCGTTGCACAACTCTCTTACCACTCTAGGATGCACCATGTCAGGTCCGGGACTCTTATGGACCTTTAGCCTGGATAGTTTATTTCTAATACCCTCTTCTGTGAGCACAATGTGGGTCAGTGCTGTGTCGAACCGTCTGTCCTCAAACTCAGGAACATTCTTAGCTTTACAAACGTGATAAAGTAACTATTTTAACGTTCTTAGCTTTACAAACATCATATAGTACCTATTTTAACATTCTTAGCTTTAAAGCAATATTAAGGCAATACTGTAGTCATAAACACAATACAGTACTGTACAGTAATTTGATACTTGAGCTTACGAGAAACCAATTGAGATTGGAAAGAAAATAAACAGAGTAAAATGCTAAGCCAACATTTATAAAGAATATTATACCTGTACTATATTGAAGTAATAAATTTATTCCCATGATAACTGATGCTATATTTAGAGTTATTGTATCATTCTATTTTCCCACCAGTTTATTACATGGTGTGAACACTGCCATCAGTCAGCTGGTACTGTGCTTGTGCTCTCTCCTACACTTCTGGTAGTATCCATACCTATCCACTCCTCCTAACTTTTCTTCACTTCCAAATTCCACACTTTCTGTTTTAGATCTTTGTTTTTATTGTACATACAGTAGAAGTCCAAAAATCCGGATTGCTTGGGGATTGGGTCGGTCCGGATTTTCCGGATTCTCAGGCAGTACTTTTAAAATTCAAATTTAAGGAGGAATAAAGAAGAGATGAACAGGTACATTTTGATAGTTTATTCATTAGCAAATATAGCATGCTTCATTTATCAAAACGAGCAGTTTTAATGAAAAAGCTGTGAATTCTAGAATTTTATTCTTTGCCTTTTTTATATCATAAATTGTAGACTTTCCAATGTCGTATGTTTCCATTAGAACAGCACTGCTCACACCACGTTCTAGTTTCTTAATTATTTCAAGTTTGTCACTCAATTTCAACGTGTTCTTCTTTCTCTTCACACAACGAAGTTTATCTACTTGAGGAGCCATTATTTTGGGCTTGTACAGTACTCTGTAAATGGAAAGAGTAGGACTCAAAATTACTTTCGTTGTCACAGTTTGATTGCTCGTTTTAAAGTGGCGACCGCATGGTCGCTTGTTGTCGCTGTGCAGCTGTGGCGCTCACGCATGCGCACATACACACAAAAGCCAGCTAAAAAAAAAAAAGCGAGTTTTCGAAAAGTCCGGATTTTCGGGTGGTCCGGATTTCTGGCATCCGGAATTTTGGACTTTTACTGTAATTAGCATAGAAATTTAAGATTAAAGAATAGTTTTATTATATATGATTATCCATCTGTGAGAGGTTTGAATAATAGACCAGGTTCTTTGGAGACTTTACTCTTGCAGCGTCATAGTGACTCAACCCGGCACCGGCACTGCCACAGACAAACTCCCGCCTGCACACATGGGTAAACATATCGTAAGATGATACTCCATCTCACAATCTCATACCATCCATGCCCCAGTGTGGGTCGGTGACCTGTGCCTGGGTGAGCTAATCCATATAAAAAAAAATGAAAGTAAATGAGGAGACATTGGACAATGAGGCAACTGGCTGAGTGACTGTGTGGCAGTGATGAGTCTATTTTCCCCCAGTGAATCTCAGGAGTAGGAGAATTATGACACACTGAAAACTTTTTTCTAGGCTTACTGTATATTACATTGCCTTTGAAGTAGTATGAGAAACAATTGATTACAAAAAGAATGCAATTTTTTTTTGCATTTTTTCATTATTACTGACTGAAGAATTACAAAAATGGTGGAACAAAAGTTTGGATTTTTTCATAATTTCAGATTTTCATTAGCCATGCACATGTCTCACCAATATGTCCAGGGTTTGAGCCTCGGAACAGACACACATGAGAAGGGTGTTATCCAGTGTGACCCTCACTACTAAACATCACAGGATTCCCAGTCTCTGGTTTCTTCCTGTAGTAACACTGGATAGACCAACCTCCTAAATTTAATTACTACTGTATACAGTATATAATATCTTGAACTATATAGATTGAGTAATGTCAACTTTCAACAACATCCACCTCCACAAAATACCAGTTCAAAAATTATCAAAGTTGGTAGCAGGATCATTATAGGTACGTACTGCAGTTAGTGAGGCAGACTGTCAGTGTGTCCCCACCACCCTCCCTTTTTTCTGCCTTTGTTGAGTTTGCTTATGCAGTAGTTATTGGCATAAGAAAAAGTAAAATGAGGACCATAGAACTAAAAACCCTCCAGACAAGACATAATAGGGCAGATCTCATTGAAACAGTCAAAATTCAAAGTGATGGAAAATGTGAACCCAGGAAATTTCTTTGTGATGTCATGCAGCACTAACACGAGAGGACATAACTACAGGTTCGCCAAGTTATCATGCAGAATGAACATAAGGAAATACTGTACTTCTTCACAGAGACTGGTAGAATCATGAACATTACTGGTCTTCAAAATAGCCCTTAAGAAAATAATGAAGAACAATTGAGGGATCCTACACAAGCCACTGGCCTCCTTCCCGCAGTGTAACCACCTCCAGTGGGTGACCATGAGGTAAATAAGATAAGTACAGTATGTACACATCTCTCTTTGTTGCCCGTCAGGTGTGTCGTTAGGAGCGCTGTTGGGCGGGTTGTTGATAGAGGCAGTGGGAGGCCCCATGACCTACTTCTACCTGGGCTTATTTGATGTAGCCTTCACCCTCTTCTTCATCATTGCTCAGTTCTTCATCTACAGGCAAGATTCTAAATACCCAAAAGGTAAAGAAAAAATAATGATTTTTGTCTGGAAATGCACACTCCAAAAAGTATCTTTACAATTTTGTGTGAGACAATACTGTATTACACAACACATGAAGGATTTTGACAATAGTACCGAGACAACAGTAGTTGAGACGTTCATTTTGAAATTCATTGGACCCCTCCATAAAGGTACTTTTTGGCCCGAGTACAATAATAGTTAATTAATGACTGAACCTAATACAGTATGGTTTTACTTCAAATTGATTCTATACAGTATCTTTACTGTACTCTCAAGTGTCTTCCCTAATTTGTATTGTACAGTAATCAGCTCTTGCTTATAATCAAACTCATCTCAGCTCTTGAACTCCTATAATATCTTGCCTTTGGATTCATTGTTTTAGTTATATTAATGGTTGGTGGACATTTCAGATGAGACAACAGAGTCTACTGTCCCGGAAGATCACAAGATGTTAGATGGCACAGAACAAATGCCATTTGATTGTGATGCAGTCGAACAGCGGAGCATCTGTGACCTACCGACTTAACTTAAGTGATCTACATACTTAATCTCGTTTATTAGTACTGTACTACACATGCAATGGTGTTCAAAAGTTAAATTTTTAACTTCAAGTTATCCACTGTGATCTTCTGTACAGTACTACATTACAGTTGTACATGATTGAAGATTTTTCAGTCTGACTTACATATACACCTGTACATGATTGGAAATTTTTTAGTCTATTTTACATACTACATGACATTACTTTCTAGGCTTGTTCCAGACATTACATGAAAACTATTAAAATAAAGTGTAGGTTTAATTAATTCTCCCCATTTACACACTGCCTATGAGTAACCATATCTGTGTTTGATAAATGTGAATGAATTTTAAAGCACTGCTGTACTGTTAGAGGTGCTAGAGATGTAGTTTGTAATAATAATAATAATAATAATAATAATAATAATAATAATAATAATAATAATATTTATTCAGTTAAATTGTCATACAGGTATACAGTTGGATAGGCTTGTATATAAACTATGCAGGTGTACAGTTTCCTATGTGCCGAGACTGTGCAGGTATACAACAGTGGTTGACTGTAATGCACGTGACCAGGAGGGATGCCATAAGATGCTAACTCTCCTCTCTGAAATGACGTTTAGTTCTTTTTGTACTATTGATCCAACAACAAGATAGACCAGTATTTAGAATTGAATTTCATAAATGTGCAAAGAATAATTTAAAATGTGAAACTAATTTTTGGTACAGTATTTTAAATTTACAGGTTGATGTACTTAGACATTAATACAGTATAAAACTCCAGTGTAAATGTGGAATTTATTGTATAGTATTTACTAAAAACATGTGATAGTTTTTTAATAGTATAGATTTATAGACAGGGTATACTATATTTAATTTATATAGTACTATAACTGCAATTTGATTTTAAAACTCCATAAATGATACTCTTATATTACTGCATGTATAACACTGTGAATCAAATATTTTATCAACCAATAAGAGATTTTTAGTTCACTCTCGAGCTCAGCCCCTACACCAAGAATCCTCCAAGTATGAGGTTGGCTTCAAGGGGGTACTATAGTGCCCGGTAGGACAGACAGGTATTCGGTTTAAAATAAATATGCCAGTTGTATGGCCTGCCGGCAGTAGCTCATTGTAGCGTTCTTGCCCCCCCCCCCCCAATACCATGTGCCCATGTCGAGTGTCTTGTGGATGTGTGAGTATGTTTTGGATGCCTTGTGAATACAATAAACTCTCTCAATAACAGACTTCTCAGTATAGTTATAGATACAGTAAATCATCTCAATAGTTGATACTATATTCTAAATAACAGGATCTTCACAATAATGGACAGTGCTTGCAAGAAGTATGGTAGTCTAGAAAAGGACGTATTGGAAGGATTTACTGTACACGATATGCTTTAAAGTCAATTATCCAATATATTTACTATTTTGATGCATGGGTGTACTGATTATAAGGTTATAAAGGTGTTTTGCAGTGATGTAGGTCTCAATTGCAGACGTCTGGATGTTATTGACATCAAAGTTAAAATTAGTTAGTTTAAGTAATTTATCAAATTCGATGCTGTACCCGATAACTTTCGATAAGTTTATACCTATTCATTCTCTCTTATTTAAGATTTTTTTCCATATATAAGAATAAAAATACACATCCCTGTATGTTATCATTTTGTTCTAAAAACCTGATTCAAAATGCTTTCAATAATTTTTTGCCTGTATGATAAAATTACATTGTGTAGTTAACTGTTCATTCTTCTGGGATGTACAGTTGCTTTCATTTATGACATGTACAGTGGCTGTCATGTTTTGTGAGATGTGGCACCACTGTTTGTTTACATCATAGTAAAACTAGTAGAATGGGCAGAATTACCTTCACTATAGAAAACAGACCAAGGATGCTAAATAAGCAGTCCTCCCTCTATCTGTGAATGCGTGCATTTCTTTCGGGGTTATACTTTTACTTTTTTACTTCTATCCGCTTCTCTATTGATTGGCTCGTTATCCACTCTGGCAGTCGGTCATGTCTGTTACGCACTGTTGGCAAGTACTGGGCATGTACCGGCTCCTGATATTGAAGTTACAGTGTTCATTTTTGGTGGATATCAACGAAATATGATGCGAGAGGCTCAGACAATGACACAAACGATGCTGCTCTTTCCAGTATATTTTCGGGACCATCCGTAAAAACAAAAAACAAAACAAACATAACCTGCTCATTCAAAGTGGCACTTTATTCCACAACTAAAATAAAACATAATAGAACATATTCACATAAATATGGGGTAACCTAGTTTATATCTAACAACCCCTCTTAAACTAGGGTACACTCTTATAATACCAAACTTCTTTAGATACTGGTTGAGTGAACATATCATCAATGTTATTTTCTGATGGAACAAACTGCAGATTAATAATACCATCTTCTACTTCTGATCTAATAAAATGGAACTTAATATTGATATGTTTCGACCTTTGATGATGTACAGGGTTTTTAGTCAATGCAATAGCTCCCTGATTATCAGCATTCAATGTTACAGGTTCTCTATTAGAATTTTGCATATCAGTTAACAACTGTTTTAAGAAATTAGCCTCTTGCATAGCTGCTGTTAAAGCCATATATTCAGCTTCACATGAGGACAATGCTACAACATTCTGTTTCTTAGATTTCCAAGAAATCAATGGACCATCTTCATTTAATTGATAACTGTAACCTGTAATACTACGCCTGTCTTCCGATGCACCCCAATCTGAATCACAGTAACCAATCAATTTTAATGGACTGCTTGATTTCCTGAACTTTAAGTTATAATGAATTGTACCTTTAACATATTTCAAAACATGTTTAGCTAATTCAAAAAGTGCTTTTGTAGGCTTTGCCATATGTTGCGACAATTTTGAAACAACATAAGATAGATCCGGTCTTGTACCAGTCATTACATAGATCAGACTGCCAACAATTTGTCTGTACAATCTAGCATCACACAGTCCTTCAGAGTCACTACTAATGATTTTACTCACACTTAAATCACATGGTATTCACTTAGGGTTGCAGTCAGACATTTTAAATCTATTAAGTATTTTCTCTAAATATTTAGTTTGATTTATCTTAATACAGTCATCTTCAAATTTGAACTCCATACTTAAGAACCAAGACAATTTTCCTAAATCTTTCATTTTAAATTTATTACACAGGGAAAGTTTTACATCACTAAGTATGTCACCATTACTAGCTGCAATAATTATATCGTCTACCCAGATAATAATTACCTTCACCTTGTTTACAATTCTAGTATACACACAATACAGTAATCTACAAGAGATTGATGAAAACCTTCACTCAAAAGAAAATTAAGTAGCATGTTGTTCCAATTTCGGCCACTTTGTTTCAAACCATATAAAGATTTCTTTGTTTCTGCCTGGGTAAATTTCGTCAACTAAGTGCCAGCAGTAAATATCCTATTGATGCAAAATAAGAGCCAGAAGTTTCTAAAATTTAGTCTGTATATTTTGATAATCAGTTCAATTTTTCACAGTTTTCTACTGCATAGACCCATTTTCACTAATTACTGATCTACCTCACAACAGGTATTCAGTATGGTTCTTAGAGCCCATTTCATTTAAAGTTTTCGGTGCTGTACTTCTGCATGGACTTGAGATGATCACCTTGTAGTTTTGAATATCTGCAATTTGTAGTAAAAATCATAGAACACCTTGGAAATATTGGAAAAGCTGTCTCCATAACATAATCTTCCATATGTTTGGGTTTTTGCCGCTATTCTCGGCGGGTACCGTATCTGTTTTTTCAGTGTCTTCTGCAGCTGTCTCATTTGTAATAACTTCAATTTCTGGGCTCTGGTTAGGTGCTGTATATCTTTTATATTCATGTTCAACATCAAACAATTACATTTTCCTGATTAAAATTGTTACCGAATTTAATACATCTAATTCTTAACATCATTTATCTCTGACTCAGTCCATCATATCCTATGAACACTCCTTGTTCACTGCATGTGACTCAGATTTGGCCTTTTTCCAGTGAACATTTCATAGGGAGTTTTTCCAATCCTTGGGTTGTAGCATCTGTTACGAATGTATCCTGAAGCTTTCGCAGCACAAGTCCATAGAGTCTTACGTGCCTTTGCTTCCAACAATAAGCATCTGGCCATATCAAAAATAGACCCCCCAAGCTCACTCTGCTGTATCATTTTGATGTGGTGAATATGGAGCAGAAAATTCATGCTTTATGTGATTTTTAATCATTAGAGTTTTAAATTCAGTGGAAGTGAATTCACCACCATTGTCAGACCTTAGTCGTTTGACAGATCCATATGGAGCAGAATCTGCCTAGAATTTTTCTGTAGCTGCCAGAGTATCACTCTTAGATCTCAAAAAATAAATCATCATACCAGAGAAGTCATCTACAAAGGAAATGGCATACTTAAAACCTTCTCTTGCAGTAGGGTCTACAGGACCTGCTAAATCAAGTTCTAAATTGGTTGTAGCTCGCTGATCAGGTTCTCTACTTCTATACTGAGACAATCTACCTGAAATGCATACATTACAATCAAAATTATCTAATGTTCATACCATCAATAACATTTTCTAATTTAAGTATATCTTTCACATTACAATGACCTAAAATTTTATGCCATTCCTCAATAGTATGACTGCTGCTTTTCTGTGAGTTCACATTATTCAGATAATACAGTTTACCATGTTTATTAATATCAAACACTGTACCATCTGAGGCCTTCAATTCTGCAGAATTTGGGGTAAAATTTACTGTTGCACCTTTCTCTGTGGCTGCTAAAACCTGATACAATACCATTTTGCCTACTACCATCTGCCAACTCTATACAATGGTTAGAAGAATAAAAATTCGGATCAAATTTTACAAACTGGGATTTGTCACTTATATGTGATGTCGCTCCACAGTCTACCAACAGGCATTGTGCATTTACATCACTACTTACATTATTATAAACAGAACTGACACTAGCTCTAAATGCAAGTGAATGGCTATCTTCTTCACTGTTAGTTACAGACTTTACTGAATTATTTCTGCAGCAATAATTTGTATCATGAGTAGGGGATTTGCAGTTATCACACCACCTACTAGGTTTTGCTTCATTAGGATTATATTTGTCTTTACTTCTGCACTCAGATTTTTTGTGTCCTAATTTTCCCACAGGAAAAGCATTTAATATTCATATTTTTGAATTTTGTATTCATCACATTATCTGCATCGTCACCTTGTTGTTGTTGACACTTTTCAGTTTCTTCAAAACTTCTTAATGCTACTTTAAATTCAGAGAAACTAACAGCTGTTTCTTTCTGCGTCACAACGGTAGATAATGTCTTATATTCTAAAAGTAATCCTTTTAATAACATTGCTACAAGTAAACTGTCACTGATGGTTTCACCGGCTAGCTTCAATGAAGCCGCTGCCGTTTCAGCCCGTATCAAGTAGTCGGTAATGGCCTCTTCATTGGATTTCCTGAGTGACGTCAGTTCTGTATACAAGGCAATAATTCTTGGCTTGCTGCTGCCTAGATAATGTTCACGGAGAATCTTTAATGACTTCCTACCATCATCTTTGGCATCTCGGATAACAAGACTTCTATCGTCGAGGTACTGGACTAGTTCTGCAAACACTTCAGCGTTCTTCTCCGTCACCTCTGCACCGTCTCCATCTTGATAAACGACATCGAGAAGTTTTTGAAGTCATAAATGGCCTAAGAACTTCACTTCCCACAACTCATACTTGCTTTCATCACCATCAAACATCAACCTGTGCCTGGGCCCATAACCTGTTGAAGTTACAGTGTTCATTTTTGGTGGATATCAACGAAATATGATGTGAGAGGCTCAGACAATGACACAAACGATGCTGCTCTTTGCAGGATATTTTCGGGACCATCCGTAAAAACAAAAAACAAAACAAACATAACCTGCTCATTCAAAGTGGCACTTTATTCCACAACTAAAGTAAAACATAATAGAACATATTCACATAAATATGGCCGTATGTGAAGGGCCG